ACAATGGCATGTACGAGGCAGCAGGATTAAAGCTTCTGCTGGAATACCAAAGCACTTCCATGTGACATGGCGGCCATAATGGTGATGACGACACCATAAGCATGGAAGAGAACTTGTTACACAAGCGCGAACTGTTGTCCATTGATTGCATTCGATGTGTATGCCGTTGTTAACGAAGTTGTAATGCCGAAATTACAGCTGCCTTGGTGACCCGTGTACCGGAGGTGATTGTATATTACATCCGCTATCTGGACAATATGCTCGCTGAGTTTTGTGACATCAACTCTTTCTGCTGGTATTTAAATCGAGCAAATCGTCAAAATAAGTGCCTTTCAATTATTCGGGTGTCAACAACGACATACTTTAGATGAGTAAGTTGGCGCTCTTTATCAGCCATTAACACTGTCTGGTAACTCCGGACAAATACTTTTAATAATTTCATATAGTTTGTGTCTTAAAGCGCTCCGCCATTTATTGGCTTTCACTTGACCTTTTTCAGGCAGTATTCAACTTCGGGCCCTTGTAAGGCGGGATTTGTGCCAACCGACACAAAACCGGCACGTGCTGCTCCGAACATAGTTAGATACCAGTGCATATTGTTGGGAGCCCAAATTCCCACATGATCACCTTGCTGCAGACCGAGCTTCAATAAGCCGGCAGCAATACGATCCACATCCTCAATGAGACTTCGGAATGTGTAGCGCTTTTGCTCGTGACATGAAACAATGGATTCCGTAGTGCCATATTCGGCAACAGCACGTTCAAGTTCCTGTCCAACACTGCGATATACCAAAGGCTGCTTGCCAATATAATGCAGGTGGGCGGGATGAAAGTCGTGCCTATTAACAGCCGCTTGAATTTGAGTAGATAAGCTGTGTGGGATATAATGGAAAACGTATGTATATCACTAATTATCTCAATTACTCGACACAACTAACACCACCCGAAAGAATGTGGCAAATTAAACAAAATATACTTGTATGAACTTGTAATAGAAATGTTGAGCAATATCATTTTGTTTATTTTGTATCGAAAGAGCTATTTTATAGATTAGATTGACTGAAAAGATAATAACATATGAATAATAAAAATATTTCTTTGATTAGATTAAAACAATGTACAGCGGCATTACCAACACACATTTAATGTGGATTAGTTCGCCGATGTTAGTTATGTATAACTTTATGTGTATCTACGATGATTAATTACTTAAACATTATGAATTCAATGCACAGATTCGTCCTCAAATAACGAATCTCCCGACAGTCATCGTCTCAAACTTCATGCTCTTTATAATTTTACAATGTACCAGGGGACCAATGTTTGGTTACACTCTATTTTATCTTATTAGTGGGACTGATTAGACTAAGTGGTCCATTAATGGTACCACTCCTTTAAATGTTCTTTTTTAAAGTAATACTGGACCAATCATGGCACGAAGCAAGATAATTGCTCGCGCTCGTTGTATAAGCGACTGCGTGTTAGAAGAGAGAAACAGTTTGTCTCTCAATTAGCATGTTAACATGAAAATGAATGCAGATATGAAAATATTAATTAAATGCAAATTATGCATGTAAATAAAGGGTTTGCCAATAGGAGTGATATGAACTTTAAAAAAAAAAAAATTGCATATCATGACATATTGACATGAAATGGCCGAAACGACACTTAGAAATCGTATCACTTCTATTGGAGAGCCCTTTATGTACGTAAGTATTTACGTGTGTAACTGAAAATAAAATGTTTTGTCTTATTTTCCGAAATGCTTGTACTAAACCGCAAATGTAGTTTCGATAGTGATTTCCCGCAGTTACTTTAAGGAGTAATGGTTTTGAGAGTAGTTATGAAGTGAAGTGCGTAGTTCTGCCCTAGGACAACGCATTTATGTGTGGACCACATATTTAAATGAACTTTGGCTAAGTTTGGAGTACACTATCCTCAACGTGGAGTACTCCTTTCAATAAATTATAGAGTACTGCTACTTTTAACTATCATAAAATAATTTCAATGTCTGTAGATTGTGCGATAACGAACTTTCTCACAGGTTTCTTAATCACTGAAATCATAATATTCCTGTTTTGTTTTGCATATGAGCAATAAAAAGTATTGACTAATTTTTATTAATTTATTATCAAATTAATATGTACGTACTTATGTATGTGCACAAAGCCATGCGCCAAATATGAAAGTTAACACGAGTAGAAGATTATAATATTGAATCGTAAAACAACGGGTTATTCTGGCCAATATACGATAGTACAGATAACAAGTTGTTTTGATATCGATGTATGAATAGAAGTGTGTCGCGTGTGGAAGTAGCGTGTGAATTAAACAATAAAGATAGTACTCCCGGATTACTCAAAAAAAGGTGCCAGACCTATATATATACATATATAAATATATACATTTCTTACAACTAAATATTTGTAGCTAGTAATTCTAAAGTTCTAAAGGGTATCTTCATACCAAACACATACTATTAGTATCATCTGACTCGCCGCAATTTCTGCGGGACTATGCTGTCATAGCATATAATAACACATATATATAAGTGTAGGTATGACATATGTATGTACATACTTATATGCCTAGATTGAACTCAAACCAGACGTGATTTCCATTTCTTTTTCCAGTGCCGTTTGTTGAATTAATAGCCTTATTAATAAACCTAAAGCATTCACCCTTATTGCCCCTACATGTTTATATTACTCATATGCATTGAGGTGTTTAGAAATAATTGCGAAAATACACCCAAAGCTACGGAGTAATACAATTAATGAACTAAAGAACTGTGAAATCAAGTGAAAAGGCAAAGACATAAGTCACAAAGCAGACGTTGAAAACTTGTTAAATTAATAATGCCCACAGAGCTCTACGTTTCGTTATTGAGATCGCTTTCAAAAATTATTAAGTCTAATAAGCTTCAAATGTGCAACATTTTGGGGGTGGTCCTCGTCTCTAAATCTCCGCAGTACTCACCTACGCAATTGAAATCGCGAAAGTTGGCCATTAGTCGCAAGGATCCGCTTGCTTACGAGTCGTGAAATTGCTTGCAACTTCTTCTTGTACATCTCGTTATTTTTTTAATGAAAGTACTAATAAATACTTTTTTATGAATGTATAAAGCTACAATAATTTGCAGTTCAATTAGTTTATAGAATTATCAAATTATTCAGCTTATTTGCAGTAATCATGAAATATGATTTATATGATTGTCGTTAGATCGTTGTGATCTGTCACGCGTACGCACAAGGTTTAGCTTAATTCGAAGTCACAATTTACTTATACATTCACCATGTATAAACTGGGTAGTCGGTCTAATGTGGTTATTCACGCACGACGCCGCGAGTACGACTGAACGATCCGGCGCATAGCAATGCTGAGGCGAACTGCCTGATTTTCGTTCGCACGGTTTGCAATAGTACTCATGTATTGGTGAATAAATGTCCTATCTAGCGTTACCACTACTTTCAAAATTTCCCTGGCAAATTAAAAAAATAAACTAAAAACGTATCATCAAAAATTGTTGAGGTATTTGAGATATTTTTGCATTAAGACTGATTTCATAAACTATATACAAATTCCCTTATAAGAAAGCCTATAAACAAAAAATATCAGTATTATTACTTTTAATTGGATCAGAGCGGCAACCCTGGCTTGATTCAGTTAAACAACATAGATTGATAATTTCATATACTCAAACAGAGAGCGTTTTTGACTTACTGTGTTGCTCTATCTCTGTTTTGGTTGATAAAAGCTGGACAATATAAATAACTCAATAGAGATAAGCCCAGCAGAAATAAGTAAGGAAGGGCTAAGTTCGGGTGTAACCCAAAATTTTATGCTCTTGCAACTTGCAAGGATTAAAGCCGGGTAAATACCTTCAGGTGTTGACAAAAATTTATATTAAGAAATGTAGTAAAAGATTCAACTTCATTGTGCGACGAAACCGTGAATGGATTACAATCTAATTTGATATCGTATTAACTTATTTTAAAGGACTCACTAAGTTTCATTACTATGTTTCAGTACTCATCAGCGAAAAGTATACTAAAATCTTTGGGTGCCATTAGAAATGGAGGGACGCTAAGGTATACTTGAGAACTTATTTACAAGTAATTTTATAAATGTTTAAAGTTAGAAATATACACATATATATGGAGTAAAGTCAGCCGGATGTTTCAAAATCGTGAATATTAGTTATATGGGGGCTAAGGCATATTTTCGCCCGATTTTATCAATTTTAGGCACCAAGATACACTGTTATTAGTAACAATTCCGCTTTCTCAATTTCGTTCAAATAACTCTCACATTGGGCGATATATGGGTCTTAAGTCAACTGGAAGTTCGAAAATCTGTATATTAGGATATGGGGGCTAAGGGAAGTATTGATCCGATTCAACCCATTTTTGACAAAAGAATATATTATTATTAAAAAAAATATTTTCCTCCAATTTAAATTATATATCTCACATATTGACCGATATTTTTGGCAGAAGGTCAGCCATAGGCTCTGGGATCCACATTTCTGAATCTGGGGGCTTTAATAGTTATGGTCCGATTTTGATAATTTTTAGACATGAGATGGCAGAACTTAAAAGAAATATTCGTGCAAATTTGTACCCCGATATATTAATTAATGCTTGATTTGTACACTGGAAGGTGAAAAAATCAGATGAAATTTAAAGTTCTGTTATATGGGAGGAAGTAGGCGTGGTTGCTGTCCCATTAATCTTATGTACCAAGTTTGGTTGAAATTGGACAAGTAGATCCGGAGATATGTGGTTTCACCAAAATGTGGACGGTGCCACACCCATCGACAATTTAGACACCTGCTCCCATAAAGCGCTCTTGTGTCATCTCGGATGATTTAATGTCTCTGACGCATTTCGTTAAAGATTTATTGCAGTTTTAGTAGTTTTTAACAAACCGTTATATGGGGAGTGGGTGTGGACATGTTGCAAGAGTGTAAAAAGAAAGGTTTTAAAACAATTTCAGCATTATTGTTAATAATTAAGTAATTTATTTTACAATTATGTGTGACTTTACAATTTCAATAAATACTTTCCTTGGTTTTTAGGTGCATTTAGTAAGGTATTAGTACAAGCCTCTTTTAACTTTCTAAATAGACACTAGTGTTTTTATTTCTGCATTTTGTTGAAAGTCTCGGCGAGCTTGAACTTTTGTATTTTGCCTGAGGCAGTTCTAGGAAATTGATTTACCGGTATTATGTAACGAGGAACTTTAAAGTGTGCCAACTTCCCCTTGGCGAATTCCTTCACTTCTTCATGTGTAATGGTCTCTTCGCCATCTTGCAACCGCACAAAGGCGCAACACTCTTCACCCAACCGTTCATCTGGGACTCCGATGACCTGGATAATCGAGAGAGAGAGAAAGAGAGAGAGAGGTTTTGAGTATTTTAACCTTCACATCCAACAACTGTAATATGGGTTAATTAGGTACATGCGCTTCAATGATTTTTGGATGTGAGTTGAGAAAGTCTTCAACTTCTTTGGGAAAAAGATTCTCTCCTCCACGTATGATCATCTCCTTCAAACGTCCAACAATACGTCCATAGCCGTCTGCTTGCAAAATGAATTGATCGCTGAAATAGAGTAAAAACTAGTCACCTTTCCCTGTTGTACACACAATTGTTAGATCGAACTTAATACATAAACCTGAATGTGATATCCTATATCTTATCTTATCATCCAGCCTACAAAATTTCACTTACCCGGTTTTCAGCCATTTATCATTACCAATGGTTTCTTTGGTTTTCTCCGCATCGTCATAGTATTCCAACATTGTGGCATAGCCGCGCACATAAAGCTCTCCTGGTTCGCCGAACTGCACTATATGGCCTTCGGCATCGACCACTTTGACTTCAATGTGTTCTAACAAATGTCCTACGGTGTTCAAAATGTTTTCAATTTTATCACCCGCTCTGGATTGAAATATTACCGCTGTGGTTTCCGTTAAACCATAAACAGTGCGCACATGATCTAGGCCCAAAACATTTTTAATATCTAAGAAAAGTTGAGGCGAACACGGCGCACCTCCAGTGACGGCCATTTTCGCAGTGTCTAACGGGAGTTTCAGTTCTCTCTGTTTCTTGATTAGATCAACGTACATGGTGGGTGTCCCATGTATAACGGTGCATTTCTCATTGACAATGGCATGTAACGAATCGGATGGACTAAACCCGGCTGCCGGCAGTACCAAGGTGCTCCCATGTGTCATCGCAGCCATTACCGTTATTACCACGCCATAGACATGAAAAAGCGGAACTTGCACGCAGATGCGAGAATTACTGTCGAGTTGATTACGATTGCCGATATGTATACCGTTATTAACGAAATTATAATGTGTTAGAACAGCGGCCTTCGGTTTTCCCGTGGTGCCAGAGGTGAACTGTATATTGCAACCACTGTCTGGCATAATATGATTTTGCAATCGCCTGATAGCCTCACGTTCAGCTGGGTCGCTCAAACCGAGCAAATCGTTAAAAGTAAGTGCTCCTTTCAGTATACTCGGGGTGTCAACGATGACATACTTTAGATGAGGCAAGTTGGCGCTCTTTATGCAGCCATTAACACTGTCTGTCAACTCCGGACAAATACTTTTAATAATTTCATAATAGTTCTGCGATTTAAATGTCTCCGGCATGATTAATGCTTTCACTTTGACCTTTTTCAGGCAGTATTCAACTTCGGGCCCTTGAAAAGCGGGATTTATGCCAACCGACACCAAACCGGCACGTGCTGCTCCGAACATAGTTAGATACCAGTGCATATTGTTGGGAGCGAGAGAGATGGCTTGCAATACTCGCATTTTTATAAAAGTGTGCTCACCAGATCAGCGCAAGATAGCGTTCTCACATTTGGCTTCGTCGGTGAGTATAGGTGTGCAAATAGAATACATAATCGACACACCAATTCAGAATCATTAAATCGTAAGACTAACACAAAGCAAAATGTTACACTCTATATGTTTATATATGTATCTATTTAAATAAAACAATTAACTCAAGACAAACAAATAAAGTATCGCTAGTGCTATATACTCTAGTCAACTTATAAAGCCTTTTACATATATGACATTTTCACTATCGTTTCAGTTTAGTTTATCTGTGGAACCTCCAGCGGCTGTGAAAGGACACGACTCTCACCCGCCACTTGCATTATATTGGCAAGCAGCCTTTGGTATATCGCAGTGTTGGACAGGAACTGGAACGTGCTGTTGCGAATAGTGGCACTACGGAATCCATTGTTTCATGTCACGAGCAAAAGCGCTACACATTCCGAAGTCTCATTGAGGATGTGGATCGTATTGCTGCCGGTTATTGAAGCTCGGTCTGCAGCAAGGTGATCATGTGGGAATTTGGGCT